ATCATGGAGCCCAAGAAAGTAAAATCTGTCACTGCCTCCATATCTTCCCCTTCTATTTACCAGGAGGTGATGGGACCAGTGGCCATGATCTTAGTTTTTTCGATGTTGAGTTTCAGACCGTTTTTTGCACTCTCCTCTTTCACCCTCATTACAAGGTTCCTTAATTCCTCCTCACTTTCTGCCATCAGAGTGGAATCATCTGCATATCTGATGTTGTTGATATTTCTTCTGGCAATCTTCATTCCGTCTTGGGATTCCTCCAGTCCAGCCTTTCGCATGATGTATTCTGCATATAAGTTAAATAAGCAGGGGGACAATATAGAGCCTTGTCGTACTCCTTTCCCAATTTTGAATCAATCAGTTGTTCCATATCCAGTTCTAACTGTTGCTCCCTGTCCCACGTATACGTTTCTCAGGAGATAGATAAGGTGGTGAGGCACTCCCATTTCTTTAAGGACTTGCCATAGTTTGCTGTGGTCCACACAGTCAAAGGCTTTTGCGTAGTCAATGAAGCAGAAGTAGATATTTTTCTGGAACTCTCTGGATTTCTCTATAATCCAGTGCATGTTAGCAATTTGGTTTCTAGCCCCTTCAGAATCCAGCTTGTACTTCTGGGAGTTCTTGGTCCACATACTGCTGAAGCCTACCCTGGAGGATTTTGAGCATAACCTTGCTAGCGTGTGAAATGAGTGCAATTGTACAGTAGTTGGAGCATTCTTTGGCACTGCCCTTCTTTGGGATTGGGATGTAGACTGATCTTTTCCAGTCCTCTGGCCACTGTTGAGTTTTCCAAACTTGCTGCCATATTGAGTGCAGCACCTTAACAGAGTCATCTTTTTCAGAGACGTCACTTCCACTCGGGGGGATGACCAGCTAGGAGTAAACCTCTGTATCGCTTCGCAAGGTAAAAAGCTATTAAAATGCATTTCTTCCTTAAAAGACTAGTTTTTTAAAACATAAATCCTTGGAGAGAAGGATAAGGAAAGCGTACAGCTAATTAAATTTTTAAAGACTATGCTGTTTTAAAATTCCGAACTACTTTCACTTTTGGGTCTGATTAGCTTCTGCTTTTTTTCCAGTTGCCCTGCTCCTAACAAAAGTCTGAAACAACAATAACTATTCTTAATTAGACCCTCTATGTCAAGGAGGAGGGATAAATCTGCCAAAACCCCTTCAGATCGCAGTTTGGAAAGATTGACGACGCAACCAGCTGAAGAAGATAAGATGGATCAGGTTACGAAGCTTATAAAAGATCTATCTTGTAAATTGTCAGAAGGCTTTGACAAAACAGAGCAAAGATCTAAGTCCATCAAAAGGAGTATCAATAAGCTTCAAGATCAAATTTCAGGGGTCTCACAGAAGCTAAGGGACAGCAAAAACAAATTTACAGACCTTGGTGATAAAGTTCAAGCAAATAAAGAACAAATAATGTCCATGGCTCAACAAATTTCTGAAACTGATAAGAAGCTCATATTTATGGAGGATAACCTCAGAAGGTCTAATATTAAAATAATGAACTTCCAAGTGCAACAGGGACAAGATCTCAGAAAAGAGGTTATGGCTTGGATTAACTATAATGGACACGCAACATCTGATTGAAACAGATATAGAAAAGGCATATTTCCTGGGAAATCCAAGCAGTCTCAGAATTAGACCAGTGGTTGTTAAGTTTTTGAATTATGCAAAGAAAGAACAATTTTTGAAAGTAATTAAACAAAAACAAGACCAGCTGGTTTATCAAGACAGAAAAATTAAGATTTTCCAGGATCTTTGTAATGAGACTGTGAAATGGAGAGGATCTATGCAGCCGGTTACAGCAATTTTGAAGAAAAATAATATCAGATATCATTGGGGCTATCCAATTTTTTTGAAAATCTGGAAAGATAAGATTTTGTTTAAAATCCACTCTTGCGAGGAAGGTTTACAATTGTTGAAAGCCTGGAACATTTACGAAGGAGAAAGTCAGGAGTTAACTCCAACTGCCAGCAAAGAACCAGAAGGCTCGCCGGATGATGGTGTCATCTCCCCCCCACCTTTTGCTCATGCCAGTGGTCATGGCATGGGACCATGGTGGAGAGGATGTGAATGTATATGTTCCCAAAATTGGTGAAGATCAATTATGGGGTGTTGTTTTGTCTATTTTATGTTTTAGTTTATGTTTGGTAGGTTGGTGGGAGGCAAGGTTACACACGGGACCTATTGGAAAAAGAACTTTGGAACTAACATGGGTAGAAAAATAAGACTTGCAACTTTAAACGTTAAAGGCCTGGGATCAACAGTGAAAAGAAGAAGAAGCATTGTTGAGGAAAAACAAGCTGTATATTGTCTTTCTACAAGAGACTCATCAATCAGAAAATTGAGTCAATGAGTTAAAGATGAACAATATAGACATTTATGGAAAAAATTTGGAACTTCTAAATCTAGAGGTGTAGCAATTATAATTTTCAAAAACTGAATTTAAAGTAGAAAAGGTAGTAAAAGATTGTAATGGTAGATATATAATAATGCAAGGTAAAATGGGGTTGGAAGAATATACTTTGGTAAATGTGTACACACCTAATAATAAACAAGGAGAATTTTATGATTTGATTTTTAAAGAAATGGAAAAGGTAAAGAAAGGTTATGTTATTATGGCAGGAGATTTCAATATGGTTATGGATAAGATGATAAAACTGCATATGGTCGGAATGATATTTATCATAGAAACACAATATTAAGTAAAAAGATAAAAAATAACCATTTGAAGGATATTTGGAGAGCTGCTTCGTTTTGAACTCCAAGGCCAAACTTCCCTGTTGTTCCTTTTATCTCTTGACTCCCTACTTTAGCATTCCAATCCCCTAGAATGAGAAGAACATCTTTCTTTGGTGTCCGTTTTAGAAGTTGTTGTAAGTCTTCATAAAATTGGTCAATTTCAGTCTCCTCAGCATTGGTGGTTGGTGCATAAACTTGGATTACTGTGATGTTGAAAGGTCTGCCTTGGATTCATATTGACATCGTTCTATCATTTTTGAGATTGTATCCCATTACAGCTTTTACCACTCTTTTGTTGACTATGAGGGCTACTCCATTCCTTCTACAGAATTCTTGCCCACAATAGTAGTTATGATAATCATCTGAATTGAATTTGCCCATTCCTGTCCACTTTAGTTCACTGACACCCAGGATGTCAATGTTTATTCTTGCCATCTCCTGTTTGACCACATCCAGCTTCCCAAGGTTCATAGATCTTACATTCCAGGTTCCTATGCAGTATTTTTCTTTGCAGCATCGGACTTTCCTTTCACTTCCAGGCGCATCCACAGCTGAGCATCCTTGGTGCTTAATCTTTGGCCCTTCAGATGTTTTGAATCTGGACTTTCAGACTAGCCAGCTAGAATGGTCAGTGGTTAGAAATTGTGGCAGCTGCATCTCAGAACATCTGGATCTGAGAACCATTGGTTCCAGATTACTGGATAATTTCAGATTAGAGTGTGATGCTCTTTGTTATCACTGTAGTGATAAGACATAAGACATTTACATGGGAATCTTGGAAATATCCTGTCTTGATATGTCCCAGATTTGTTTTACCACAGCTCTCATTAACTGCCTACCAGTACAGCCATTGATCATGATCATAACAGTGGGGGATTATAGGAGTGTAAACTGGTATCCCCCAGATGTGCTAGAGTACACTCCTAGAGTACAAAGGAAGAATTTGGTAGTAGTATGAAACAAAGCCAAGTACATGGCTGTTCTCTTCCATCCCTCTTCACCTCTTCTGCTCACTTCCCAGGCATCCATTTAAACTGCCCATTCCTCAGAGCTTTCTTCTCCAGGAAACCTTTACTGTGGACAAGAAGGAAAAGCATTATTTATTGGAAACCAGAGTTTTGATACATGGACGAGATGAGTGTGTTCAAACTCTCACACTTGGCTATCAAGCTGAAAATCTATATGTAAGTGAACATCAGTTTTTCTGTAACTTTCAATACAGCAATGCAGTTGAGAAACAGGTATTTATGATTAATTTTCACGTATTTCCTCCCCTGCAGATTTGTGCTGGCTTGGCTCATCCCTACAGCAGCAAGATTTTCCCTTCAAATATAGACGTATGTGCCAGAATGAGAAATCTCAGTCATGTAAGTTTAGGTGTGATTACACAATGAGGGAAATGTGAATTCACTCACTGTCAATTCACACCAGGGAATTTGGGTTTCCCCAGATCTGTTTGCATTAATGGCAATTTCCTCCTCCTCTCTCTCTCTCTCTCTCTCTCTCTTTTTCTTTTTGATATCTAGTTGTCCTAGCATTACAGTGTAGGCACCAGATTTTTTTATTTTTTCTAAGAAAAGAAATTGTATGATTTGCTTGGATCCAGCCTGGGAGGATTTCTGCTTTCTACCCGCAATCTGACTTGTTTGCTTTCCCTGATCAGATCCATTCAAATACAGAAGGCAGGAGGAAAAAATATAAGGCCAGGTGAGCTGAGTGGTTGATGGGTCAAATGGAGTGTGTTTCTGTGTGTCTTTTTGAATAAAAGGCACATCTGGAAAAAATAGCTGCTAAACCATTGGTTTCCAACCTTGGGTCCCCATATGATTTTATACTAAAACTCAAAGAAGCATTTAGCACTAGCTGTGCTGACCAGGATTTCTGGGAGTTGTAGGGCAAGAAAATCTGGGTATCCAAAGTTGGAAACCATTGTCCTAATGGCTAAAAATACAGGCACTTTGTGCAAGGGACTTGGCTGGAGGGAGTTGTTAATAACCACATCAGTAGAGACTGGGGAAAAAGGCAAAGCAAACCAAAAGTTTTTAATTGGGGAAGCCAGGGCACTTCCCTTCCAAAAAACCAACTATAGTGGTGCCTCGCTTAACGACAATAATCCATTCCAGGAAAATTGCCGTTAAGCGAAAACATCGTAAAGCGAAAATAAAAACCCCACATGGAAACCCATTCAATGCGTTCCAATGAGATAAAAACTCACCATCCAGCGAAGATCCTCCATACAGCGGCCATTTTTGCTGCCTGTATAGTGAGGAATCCGTCCCTAAACACAGCGGGGAGCCGTTTTAATTACCCGGTGGCCATTTTGTAACCGCTGATCAGCTGTTCTTTAAACATCGTTTTGTGAAGAATCGGTTCCCGAAGCAGGGAACCGATCATCGCAAAGCGAAATTCCCCCATTTAGACCATTTTGCGATCGCAATTGCAATCGCAAAAAGATCATCGTAAAGCAGATTCGTTGTAATGCGGGCCAATCGTTGGTTAGGCACTACTGTACTTTGAAAATCAGCCTCTAATCCAGGACCTTCCTAAATAGGTTGATGTGGAAGTTGGGTTGCCTCCATCCCCAGCAATGCCAGTGCAGGTTCTGTGTAACTTCTCCCAGCTTTGTTATTTAAAGGATGAAGAGGCTGTTCCTGGTGACTATTTACTGGGCAGCTGTTACAGGGAACAAGTTGGAGATTGGTAGAGACCATACTCAGGAGATGATGTGTCTATCATCTCCCTGTTAATAGCCTTTTTAGAAACAAGTCCCACAACTCTTTAGAAAGGGTGCAGTGGACTGAGGCCACCCAACCCATCAATCTCCTCAGAAGATCACTCTGAAAAGCAAACTAGTCACTTTGTATTCTCAAAGGCTTTCACGGCCAGGATCCAATGGTTGTTGTAGGTTTTCCAGGCTGTTTGGCTGTATTCTGGAGGTTTTTCTTCCTAATGTTTCGCCAGTCTCTGTGACCGGCACAGAAGACAGGAGTTAGAACTTTGTGTTCTGGTTTAGTGTGTGGGATAGTTGAGTATTTGTAGCTGTGGG